AGTGTGCTGGAAAGACCGCCCCCGGCGGCGCCTTCGCTTCCCCGTTCCGCTTCCCGCGCCAGTCGCAGAGCCTGCGCAACCCCTCCATGGACCGCCCCGGCTTGCGCGCTAGTCGCAGCGCCACCCTGCTCCCACCCACCACCCCGATTTATGAAGCTACCGTCAGGAAGGCCGTCCATTCGAGGGCGGATCCCAATCTTTCCATTCCCGTCGCTACCGAGCTGGACGATGCCCTCATTGCCCGCCACGCCCCGCGCGCCGATATTCTCAACAGCCCGAAGAGCATCCAACACTTGCATTCCGTCTTTTCGCTGCTCAGGTATATAACGGGTGAGGCCACTTCTCCCACCTCGCCGCAAGAAGGTGTGTTTGGTGGTTTGTATCATCCAGCAGAGCGGACACAGTGCTACACGGCCTCGTACCGCTTCCTTTGTCTCCAGTTTCGAGAAGACAAGATGAAGCGGGAGATCGAACTGCGGCCTGTAGAAGCGAAACGGGGTGGCGTACCGGGTATGCGAGCGGATGTCAAGGCCTACCTCAACTTGATCTTTGACCGTCGCATTCCTGATCAGCTCACAGTAGGCACCATGTGCGATGGCCTGCCCATATGGCCGCAAGTGTACTACTGTCTACGTGCTGGGTCTAGAGAAACTGGTCTTGAAATTCTAGTGGATGCGTTGCAAGCCGGGTGCACAGATGCTAGTGTCATCCTCATCGAACAATGTCTGAGGGCCTCTCTTACAGCGGGGGAGAGAGGCGCTCTCCCGGAGATGTTGCTAGAGCGCCTCGTGCAAGAGTATGGGCTGTCGGTACAGCGCGGCGAGGACCCGTATGAGAGAGCCTGCTACGTAGTGCTTGGGAGACTTGATCCTGCGGCTGGAGACAAGTTGGCCCTACCAGATAGCGATTATTCGCTCCTCTTCTACTCGATAGAAGACTATCTGTGGCTGAGACTGAGTATCGTGCGCCTTGATACGGACGAAAGGGCGCCGGAGTCATTGCGAATGTACGAATTACCGATGAAATGTATTCAGGAGGAAGTACGGAGGTTTGGGCCAGCTCATTTTGATCCGCAAGGAGATACACCCACATTTTATGCGTTTGTGCTGCTCCTCACGGGGCAGTTTTCGGCGGCAATTGAATATCTTGATGGAGGGGCGCGTGCAATCGCAGAGGCAACACATGTCGCATATATCCTTTATTACTACGGGATATTGCGAGAGCCAGGTGGCGTGGATGCGGGTGCGGCGGACGGTGCCAACTTTTGTTTTGATTACGCCGAGCTGCTTTGGAGATACGTGACACGATTCTCAAGGACAGATGCGACAGCAGCTGCAGTGTATTTGTTTACGTTGCGTGACGGAGTGGTAAGGAAGGAGCTGTTGCAAAGACTAGTGCTGGAAACAAAAGAGTTTGATTTGCTGCTGGGCACCAAGGCGTTCCGCGATGACGGCAGGGGTGGTCGGCAAGCAGGGGTGTTGCAAGAGCTGTGGCCTCTTGGCGGGCGGGACGGGACTGTAGGAGGGAGCTGGATGTCGGTTGTCGCGGACGCGGCAAGAGCGGCTGATGAAGCGGGAGATCGGGCAAGCGCCGTGCAGCTGTACGACGTGGCAGGGGCGCGAGGAAAGGTGGTGGGTATTCTGATTGACCGGCTATCTGCAGAGCTGACGTCAAGAAATACGGCGTCGCGTGATGTAACGTTCAAGGAGGCGATGAAGTATCGGCAGGGTTTGGAAAACGACCGAATGCACCGGCCGTTGGAACGGATGGAGGGGGACGTGCTACTGGGTCAGTTGCTGCCGTCATTGGACCTGCTGCTGGGGATGGGAGAATTCTTCGAGCTGATTTGGGAAAAGCAGTTTGAACGGGCTTGGGAGCTGCTGGATAAAATGGATTTTCTGCCACGGACGGACGGGCAACTGGTATCGAAGATATCAGAACTCAAGGTTGGCGGGGGGGTTTGGGCGGACGCGGTGTGCGACCGAGTGCCAGAGATTGTGCTTGGGGCGATGGAGGTGCTGGCGGGGCTACACGGGATGCAACGACGCAGCGGACGGGAGATTGGCGGGAGCGGGCTGTGGTCGACGCAGACGCTGCGGACGGCGGCCAAGACTCTTGTCAACTTCTCCGGGATGTTGCCCAACGTGTCTGCGGACGTGTCTGCGCGGCTTGTACGATTGGATGTGCTAATGAACTAATTAAAATTAGCTTACCAAAGAAAAGAGAAAATCGCAACGGTGCATATGACATTTGGGAACACGTCCGTAGACGGGCCCATACGCATCTTTTTTTTTTACTTTTTGTCACTGCGGTACAGCCATACACGCGACTCAAAAAAACTGCCGACTCCCACCGTCCGTCTTCTTTTGCTCCTCTACTCTCTCCGTATTACCTACTCCGGCGCATACCGTACGTTTTTAACGACGAGGGTACAGCGGTACAGCGGTACAGCGGTGCTACCTTGTCAATGTGGCAGCATGGCGGGGGGAACTGAGCATGTGCAGGGCGATGACGACGGCAATATTTTTTTGGGGGGGTTTGGTGAACGACGATATGTTTCTTTTACATGTGAGATGTCTAGTATTCAGCGGGGCGGGGCGGCTCAAAGAATCTACATGGTTAAGACAGTTAGTGATATAAAAGCTTGTTCAAGGCCAAGGCCTACTCAAACCAGCGGGTGGGAATGGTCTGTTTCTCCAAGCTCCTCGCCATCTCCTTTTTCCTACCCTGGTGGGCGAGAATATGGGGCGGGACAAAGCCCTCCTTCAAGGGGATGGGGATCCTCTGGAGCTTGCTACTCTTTTTCGAGTATGTTTTAGGCCTCATATCCTCCTCGGTCATGCTTTCCGGGACGCCGATAAAGTCTGTCTGGGCGCTGTAGGGGTTGTAGTATGTCCATTTAGGGTGGCCGGAGTCGTGCTCCTTGGAGCGGGCGGCGGCGGCGCCGGGCATGGAGTAGGTGCCACCGCCGCGGGCGCGCATGGGCCTCTCGACGGGCTCGCGGTGGCGGCGCGAGGGAATGGGGATGGGCTGGGACTTGGGAGCGCGTGCGCGGGACGAGGAGGAGGCGGAGGCGGAGGCGGAGTGGTCCTCGGGGCCGCGCAGGATGATGCCGGAGCCCGAGCGCGAGGCCGAGGCGGGCTTGGGCACGTGGATGCCCGCGGCGCGCGCGGCCTTCTCGGCGGCGACGACCTGGTCGTACGACAGGCGCTCGAAGTTGGCCGGGCGGAACGGGTTGCGGTTGAGCGGGGTGGACAGGGTGCTCGGGCCGCCCATGACCGGGCGGAACTCGGACGAGGGGGACGAGGACGACGAGCGGTGGAACGACTGGGACGCGGACGGGCGCGTCGAGGCCTGGCGGTGGTGCGACGACGACGACGACTTGGGCTTGGGGCGCGACGAGGAGCGGGCGGAGGAGGAGCGATGCGCGGGCTTGGACGAGCTGGAGGGCGCCATGGTTGGGGCGCGGGTGGATGCGGA